TCTTTTGCCAACATAGGGTTCCAATCTCTAGTTGAGATTTTTAGACATAGGGCCTCCATTCCCTAGTCGCATTTTGCCAACATAGGGCTCCAATCCCTAGTTGAGATTTTTAGACAAATGGTCTCCATCCCCTAGTCGCCTTTTGCCAACATAGGTTTTCCAGCCCTAGTTGAGATTTTTTAGACATAGGGTCTCTATCCCCTAGTCGCCTTTTGCCAGCATAGGGTCTCCAACCCCTAGTTGAGATTTTTAAAAATAAGGCCTCTATTCCCTAGTCGCCTTTTGCCGATGTAGAGCTCCAATCCCTAGTATAGATTTTTTAGACATAGGGTCTAAATACCCTTGTCGCATTTTGCCAACAAAGCGCTCCAATCCTTAGTTGAGATTTTAGACATAGAGCCTTCATTCCCTAGTCGCCTTTTGCCAACATAGGGTCTCTAAACAATAGTTGAGATTATTTTTATACATAGGGTCTCCTTCCCCTAGTCGCCTTTTTGCCAACATAGGGTCTCCAACCCTTATTTGAGATTTTTTAGACATAGGGTCTCCATCCCCTAGTAGTCTTTTGCCAACATAGGGTTTCCAAACCCTAGTTGAGATTTTAGACATAAGGTCTCCATCCCCTAGTAGTCTTTTGCCAACATAGGGTCTCCAACCCCTAGTTGAGATTTTTAGACATAGGGTCTTCATCCCCTAGTCTTCTTTTGCCAACATAGGGTCTCCAACCCCTAGTTGAGATTTTTAGACATAGGGTCTTCATCCCCTAGTCTTCTTTTGCCAACATAGGTTCTACAATCCCTAGTTGATATTTTTTAGACATAAGGTCTTTATCCCCTAGTCGCCTTTTGCCAACATAGGGACTCCAACCCCTAGTTGAGATTTTTAGACATTGGGTCTCCATCCCCTACTCGCCTTTTGCCAATATAGGGTTCTAATCCATAGTTGAGAATTTTAGACATTGGGTCTCCATCCCCTAGTCGCCTTTTCCCAACATAGGGCTCCAATCCCTAGTTGTGATTTTTAGACATAGGGTCTCAATCCCCTAGTCGCCTTTTCCCAACATAGGGCTCCAATCCCTAGTTGTGATTTTTAGACATAGGGCCTCCATTCTCTCGTCGCCTATTGTCAACATAGGGCTACAATCCCTAGTTGAGATCTTTAGACATAGGGCCTCCATTCTCTAATCGTCTTTTGCCAGCATAGGGGCTCTAACCCCTAGTTGATATTTTTAGACATAGGGTCTCAATCCCCTAGTCGCCTTTTGCCAACGTAGGATCTCCAACCCCTAGTTGAGATTTTTTAGACATAGGATATCCATCCCCTAGTAGCCTTTTTCCAACATAGGGTCTCTAACCCCTAGTTGAGATTTTAGCCATTTAGTCTTCATCCTCTAGTCGCCTTTTGCAAACATAGGGTCTCTAACCCCTAGTTGAGATTTTAGACATAGGGCCTCCATTCCCTAGTCGCCTTTTGCCAACATAGGGCTCCAATCCCTAGTTGAGATTTTTAGACATAGGGTCTCCATTCCCTAGTCACCTTTTTCCAACATAGGGCTCCAATCCCTAGTTGAGATTTTAGATGTAGGGCCGTCATTCCCTAATCGTCTTTTGCCAACATAGGTTCTCTAACCCCTAGTTGAGATTTTTAGACATAGGGCCTCCATTCCATAGTCGCCTTTTGCCAGCATAGGGCTCCAATCCCTACTTGAGATTTTTAGGGATAGGGCCTCCATTCCCTAGTAGCCTTTTGCAAACATATGGTCTCCAACCCCTAGTTGAGATTTTTTAGACATAAGGCCTCCATCCCCTAGTCGCGTTTTGCCAACATAGGGCTCCAATCCATAATTAAGATTTTAGACATAGGTCCTCCATTTTCTAGTCGTCTTTTGCCAACATAGGGCTCCAATCTCTAGTTGAGATTTTTAAAATAGGGCCTCCATTCCCTAGTTGAGATTTTTAAACATAGGGTCTCCATTCTCCAGTCGCCTTTTTCCAACATAGGGCTCAATCCCTAGTTGAGATTTTTCCACATAGGGCATCCATTCCCTAGTCGCATTTTGCCAACATAGGGCTCCAATCCCTAGTTGAGATTTTTAGACAAATGGTCTCCATCCCCTAGTCGTCTTTTGCCAACATAGGTTCTCCAGCCCCTATTTAAGATTTTTTAGACATAGGGTCTCTATCCCCTAGTCGCCTTTTGCCAGCATAGGGTCTCCAACCCCTAGTTGAGATTTTTAAACATAAGGCCTTCATTCCCTAGTCGCATTTTGCCAACGTAGGGCTCCAATCCCTAGTAGAGATTTTTTAGACATAGGGTCTCAATACCCTTGTCGCCTTTTGCCAACATAGGGCTCCAATCCTTAGTTGAGATTTTAGACATAGTGTCACACCTCATTTTTCAGCTACACCCCGTGAAGGGACATAAAGGGTGTTTTTCCAATTAAAGGACAATCGAAACGGGATTTTATTTAGAGATTCAGAGTCGCCACTTGGGAGATTTATGGTGTCCCAAGTCACCGGTTGAATCCCGAATCGAGGAAAAGATTAACTCTGTATTACAGTCCGCGAACCAGAAATCCGAGTAAGGATTTCTGTTAACCCGGGAGAAGGTGTTAGGCATTCCCGAGTTCCGTGGTTCTAGCACGGTCGCTCAACTGTCATATTCGGCTTATTTATTTGATTTTAATACATGTTGAACCTATGTGCAAATTTTAACTGTGTACCGCTTTTATTATTATTATTTTTACCGAGAATTGCAACATCGTGAAAATACATCTCGAACCACGTCACATCAATACACCCGTGGTTATTGATACATTTCAACTCTGTTGAGATTTTGATTTGGGTCACATAAATGTACACCCGAGTTTAAGAAGATAACATTATTAAATACGCACCTAAAGCGACTAGCGTGTCATTATTTTGGGTAGGGCCGTGAAATTTTTGTTAAACGGCCTGTCCCTAAGTCTAAGTATTTTAAAAACAAATATTTATTGAGGGCCCCGCAATTTTGTATTTTTTTTATTCGGCGAGGCTCATCTCATTTTTATCCAAGGATATCCTGAAGCGACTATGATTTTCTATTTATTGGTCTCTAAGAATAAAGAAAAATCCTAATCAATTAGCATTAAAAGTTCGGGCTTCAAGTTCAAATCCGGGTCCAAACAAAAGGAAACACCTTCTAGTTTGAACCCGCTACCTAACTTAAGATCCGTCGCCTGCCGTTGTAAATATTAACAAACCAGCTACTATTTCGATCCAGTTCAACTTTAGCTTTATTATATGAATTGGATTATTGGAGTTAACTATGTGGAATATAAAGCCATTTTTTGAGCTCTTTTTTACGATTTGTTGAAAAATGCATCAATGCTTAAAAACTGACATCAAGCTAACATTTGAGAACTAACATTAGTTACTAATATTATTTATATTGCTATTTAAAATGACGTTATTTACTCAAGTAAACTCGCGATTTCAGAATTAGACCTATTAAACCAACATGATGATTTCCATAAACTATTTGAACTTGTTTTGTGACATAAACTATTTGAAACTGTTTCACGACTACCGAACAAAAAAAATTAAATACGGTATATTTCATAACTAGTAATCACCAACTAAGATTAATTACAATTGATATTCCATGTTTGTAGAAATAGATTCAATCAGTCCAGTTTATGCATTTCAAAATCATTCCCATACATACTATGAAATATCAAGTGAACTACTGCTTATACATCAAATTAAATACAAAGAAACAGTTATTTTCAGAAATCCATTCCAACAACTCTTTACTTCCTTTCCTTTAAATTTGAGAGTTGTAGAACATGTACCTGGATAACGGAAATACAAGAAGATAAGGAGCAGTCAGCAACAGTAATAACACAGCAACGCGGTGACAGAACAACCCCAGTGACAGATTAAAAAGGAAGGAACCAGTAGAGTTCCAGCAACACCCAATGAAAACAGTAGCCAATAACCAATAGCAAACTTAGGAAGAACCAATTGAAATCCCATAAATACCAAACAACAACACCAATTAAACCGCAACAGTACCAGTTCTGATATTCAGCAGTAAAAGAAAAGACTCACTTTTCAGTTTCTTAGCTCTCCGAACACTGAACCTTTTAGGATTAAAAACCAGCCTGTTTTTTTACTCTCGAATTACTGAACTTTTAAATGTTAAAAATCCAGCCTAGACTCTCTGGAAAAAAAGACTGAAAGAGAACTGATTTTTTCTCTTCCAAAAACCAGCCCCCTTTTTCTGTCTTGAAATGACCCTATTTATAACCCAAAAACAGGTATGGGCAACATATATTAATCCATCCTTTTTAAGCTTTTCATACCATTATGTTTTGTTCCCCACACTTGCATGTTTTGTTCCCCACACTTGCATGCCTTGTTCCCCACTAGCAAATGTCTTGTTTTCCCACTATCAAATGTCTTGTCCCCCACTAGCAAATGTCTTGTCCCCCACTATGTATTAAATAATGCCTTATTTTAATATTATTAGTGCTTAGTGGACAGAGCACTCAAATTAATCACTTTTAAAACTTAAAATCCCGAAAATGCCCCTAAAAATATTGAAATTACCATTCTACCCCATCAGCTATATCCAATCCTCCTAATCAATTAACCAAACTATAGTAGCTATAACCAATCTTAATTGAGAAATCCTAACAATTGACTAATTTAAACACCTGAAACTAACTCCCAATCAATGACATTAAGATTCATCAAACTCAAATCACAATTTAAGCTTGAAACTCAATTCAGACCAAATATCATCAAAATAAAGATTCTGTGATTAAACTAACACACTTCTAGATTAAACCTAAACAAGAACAAATGAACACTGTCAACATACTGAATGAAAACAAATTGATTTCATATGCAAGAAATGATGAACAACAACAAGAAAGAAACAACATAACATAACCAAGAAAAGACAGAAACTAGAACGAGGCAAGATAATTAAAACAAACAAGAAGAACGACAGATTCATGAACTTGTACTCAAATCATCTTCTTGATTATAATTATGATCTCCAGTTATGAACAAAACATTTCTCACACGTCCACCAAGTGTTGTAATTTCAGCTTTTAATGTTTTTAACCTTAGTGCTTTTAATGTCTTGATTAAATCAGGTAAAAGATCGGACCTGTCTTCACAACAAAGTGAAGCTTTTATCACAAACTTACCATCTTCGAATTCATCAGATGCATTATCCACTGTTAATTCATCTATCTCTGTTGGAACTGGATTTGTTTCTACTATTAAAGATGTTTGTCTTTTGAGCTCTTTCACATGTTGTATCACTTCAGCTAGCAATGAAGCTTTGTCCGTTTTTGTAGTATTGGGAAGAAGGCTTCGCAATTTAGCAAGATGATTATTGATTCTTTCTCTACGTCTCCTTTCAGCTTCACTATGACCTTTTGAAGCAGCAAGAGCTTTAGCATCCATAATTTCTTGAGCAGTCATTTTTTGAAGTTCAGCTTGTAAACCAAAAGGAGCTGAACCGGCTGGTTGATGATGAACTACATGACCTAAAGTATCCGAAATAAACCGAACATGGCTGCTCGACGTGAAGATGGAAGGCGATGGGCAACCTGCTTGGTTTTCGTTTGGAGCTGCTGGCCGGCGAGGTTGGTGGACGGCAGCAGCTGGACGTCTGGCTTGCTTGACGACGAAGCAGGCTAGTGGCGTGGGAATGGAGAAGAAGGTTGCTGGTTGTTGTGAGGTCGTGAGATGAAGAAGCAGCAACGGTTGGTTTGTTTTGGGTGTTGAAGATGAAGGGTTTTAGGTTTCAGGGGTGGCCTGTCAGGCGGTGGCGGAGATGGTGAATGGGAATGGCGGATTTCCAGTGAGCTGCTAGTTCTGGGTTCAAGATGACTGAAGGTTCTGTTGAAGCTTAAGGTTCTGTCATTGGCTTCAAGTGGGTGAANGCTGGTTGGTCGCGTCGCTGGTTTGGTGGTTCGTCGACGGAGAAGGCTGGCAGCCATGGATGTCGTTTGGAGCTGGAGATGGCAGTGGGGGTTCGTTTGTTCGAAGAAGAGTAGAGGGCAGCCACGGTGATCGTTTGGAGCTGGAGATGGCAATGGGGTGGTTTGGAGGAGAAGAAGATGAAAGGGCAGCCATGGAGGTGAGGGGGAAGGGGGGGTCGTTTGGAGAAGATGAAGAGGAGAGGGGGCAGGTGGTTTAGGATTTAGGGGTTGGAAAATGAAAAATGGAAGAAGGGGGGTGGTTGTTTGGGCTATGGGGCAGACCGGGTCGGGGATGGGGTATGGGCTGGGTATCCGGGTTTCAATTTCAAAGGAGAAGAAAAATTGTTTGGACTTTAAATTGATTTGGCCTAAATATGACTTAACACACCTTTATTTTGTCTTTCTTTTCTTAAACTAATAAAACTAAAAATTCCAAAAATCCTAAATTAGCTTATAGGACTAGATTAATTTACAAAAGTACTACTAACTTTTCAATAACAATTAACACACACAATCAAATAAAATCACATAACTTGGACATGAAATGCTAAAAATGCAAAAAATACGTTATTTTGTGATTTTCTTTCTCGCAAAGCCAAAATTATTTTAATTAATTTCTAATTGTAACATTAAATCCTAAATGCACAGGCAACACATATTTTTGTATTTTCCTTAACTAAAGTAGAAATAAACATGCACAGACAAAAAATACAAATAAATCAACAAACAACACAAATCCATTTTATTTTGAATTTTTTGGGAGTAGTTCTCATAGGGCAAAAATCACGTGATCACACATAGGGCCTTCATTCCCTAGTCGCCTCTTGCCAACATAGGGTCTCTAAACAATAGTTGAGATTATTTTTAGACATAGGGTCTCCTTCCCCTAGTCGCCTTTTCCCAACATAGGGTCTCCAACCCCTAGTTGAGATTTTTTAGACATAGGGTCTCCTTCCCCTAGTCGCCTTTTCCCAACATAGGGTCTCCAACCCCTAGTTGAGATTTTTTAGACATAGGGTCTCTATCCCCTAGTAGCCTTTTGCCAACATAGGGTCTCCAAACTCTAGTTGAGATTTTAGACATAGGGTCTCCATCCCCTAGTCGTCTTTTGCCAACATAGGGTCTCCAACCCCTAGTTGAGATTTTTAGACATAGGGTCTTCATCCCCTAGTCATCTTTTGCCAACATAGGTTCTCCAGCCCCTAGTTGAGATTTTTTAAACATAAGGTCTCTATCCGCTAGTCGCCTTTTGCTAACATAGGGTCTCCAACCCCTATTTGAGATTTTTAGACATAGGGTCTCCATCCCCAAGTAGCCTTTTGCTAATATAGGGTTCTAATCCCTAGTTGAGAATTTTAGACATTGGGTCTTCATCCCCTAGTCGTCTTTTCCCAACATAGGGCTCCAATCCCTAGTTGTGATTTTTAGACATAGGGCCTCCATTCTCTAGTCGTCTTTTGCCAACATAGGGCTACAATCCCTAGTAGAGATCTTTAGACATAAGACCTCCATTCTCTAATCGTCTTTTGCCAGCATAGGGGCTCTAACCCCTAGTTGATAATTTTAGACATAGGGTATTCATACCCTAGTCGCCTTTTGCCAACATAGGGTCTCCAACCCCTAGTTAAGATTTTTTAGACATAGGGTCTCCATCCCCTAGTAGCCGTTTGCTAACATAGGGTCTCTAACCCCTAGTTGAGATTTTAGCCATTGAGTCTCCATCATCTAGTAGCCTTTTGCCAACATAAGGTCTCCAACCCCTAGTTGAGATTTTTAGACATAGGACTACCATTCCCTAGTCTCCTTTTGCCAACATAGGGCTCCAATCCCTAGTTGAGATTTTTAGACATAGGGACTCCATTCCCTAGTCGTCTTTTGCCAACATAGGGCTCCAATACCTATTTGAGATTTTTAGACATAGGGCCTCCATTCTCTAGTCGCCTTTTGCAAACATAGGACTCCAATCCCTAGTTGAGATTTTAGACATAGGGCCTCCATTCCCTAGTCGCCTTTTGCCAACATAGNCGCCTTTTGCCAACATAAGGCTCCAATCCCTAGTTGAGATTTTAGACGTAGGGCTTCTATTCCCTAGTCATCTTTTGCCAACTTAGGGCTCAAATCCCTAGTTGAGATTTTAGACATAGGGCCTCCATTCCCTAGTTGTCATTTGCAAACATAGGGCTCCAATCCCTATTTGAGATTTTAGACATAGGGCCTCCATTCCTTAGTCAGCTTTTCCCAACATATGACTCCAATCCCTAGTTGAGATTTTTAAACATAGGGCCTCCATTCCCTAGTCGCCTTTTGCCAATATAGGGCTCCAATACCTAGTTAAGATTTTAGACATGGGGCCTCCTTTCTCTAGTCATCTTTTGCCAAAATAGGGTCTCCAACCCCTAGTTGAGATTTTTTAGACATAGGGTCTCCATCCCCTAGTCGTCCTTTGCCAACATAGGGTCTTCAACCCCTAGTTGAGATTTTTAGACATAAGGTCTCGATCCCCAAGTCGCCCTTTGCCAACATATGGACCCCAACCCCTAGTAGAGATTTTTAGACATAGGGTCTCCATCCCCTAGTTGGCTTTTGCCAACCTAGGGTCTCGAACCCCTAGTTGAGATTTTTAGACATAAGGTCTCGATCCCCAAGTCGCCCTTTGCCAACATATGGACCCCAACCCCTAGTAGAGATTTTTAGACATAGGGTCTCCATCCCCTAGTTGGCTTTTGCCAACCTAGGGTCTCGAACCCCTAGTTGAGATTTTTAGACATAGGGTCTCCATTCCCTAGTCGCCTTTTGCCAACATAGATTCGCCAACTCCTAGTTCGGATTTTTTAGACATAGGGTCTCCATCCCCTAGTCGGCTTTTGCCAACATAGGGTCTCGAACCCCTAGTTGAGATTTTTAGACATAGGGTCTCCATTCCCTAGTCGCCTTTTGCCAACATAGGGTCTCCAACTCCTAGTTCAAATTTTTTAGACATAGGGTCTCCATCCCCTAGTCGTCTTCTGCCAACATAGGGCTCCTATCCCTAGTTGATATTTTTAGACGTAGGGACGCCATTCACTAATCGCCTTTTGCTAGCATAGGGGCTCTAACACCTAGTTCAGATTTTTAGACATAGGACCTCCATTCCCTAGTCGCCTTTTGCCAGCATAGGGCTCCAATCCCTACTTGAGATTTTTAGACATAGGGCATCCATTCCCTAGTAGCCTTTTGCAAACATAGGGTCTCCAACCCCTAGTTGAGATTTTTTAGACATAGGGCCTCCATCCCCTAGTCGCATTTTGCCAACATAGGGCTCCAATCCCTAATTGAGATTTTTGACATAGGGTTTCCATTCCCTAGTCTCCTTTTGCCAACATAGGTCTTCAATCCTTAATTGAGATTTTTAGACATAGGGTCTCCATTCCCTAATCGTCTTTTTGCAGCATAGGGCTCCAATTCCTAATTGAGATTTCTGACATAGGTCTTCCATTTCCTAGTCGTCTTTTGCCTACATAGGGCTCCAATCTCTAGTTGAGATTTTTAAAATAGGGCCTCCATTCCCTACTCACCTTTTTCCAACATAGGGCTTCAATCCCTAGTTGAGATTTTTAGACATAGGGCCTCCATCCCCTAGTCGTCTTTTGCCAACGTAGGGCTTCAATCCCTAGTTGAGATTTTTTAGACATAGGGCCTCCAACCCCTAGTCGTCTTTTGCCAGCATAGGGTCTCCAACACCTTGGTGAGATTTTTAGACATAGGGCCTCCATTCCCTTGCCACCTTTTGCCAACATAGGGCTCTATTCCCTAATTGAGATTTTTAGAGATAGGGCCTCCTTTTCCTAGTAGCCTTTTGCCAACATAGGGTCTCCAACCCCTAGTTGAGATTTTTTAGAGATAGGGTCTCCATCCCCTAGTCGCCTTTTGCCAATACAATGCTCCAATCCCTAGTTGAGATTTTACACATAGGACCTTTATTCCCTAGTCGCCTTTTGCCAACATAGGGCTCCAATCCCTAGTTAAAATTTTTAGACATAGGGTCTCAATTCCCTAGTCGCCTTTTGCCAGCATAGGGTTTCCAACCCCTAGTTTAGATTTTTAAACATAAGGCCTCCATTCCCTAGTTGCCTTTTGCCAACATAAGGCTCCAATCCCTAGTAGAGAATTTTTACACATAGGGTCTTAATCCCCTTGTCACCTTTTTCCAACATAGGGGTCCAATCCTTAGTTGAGATTTTAGACATAGGGCCTCCATTCCCTAGTCTCCTTTTGTCAACATTGGGTCGCTAAACACTAGTTGAGATTATTTTTAGACATAGGGTCTCCTTCCCCTAGTCGTCTTTTGCCAACATAGGGTCTCCAACCCCTAGTTGAGATTTTTAGACAAAGGGTCTTCATCCCCTAGTTGCCTTTTGCGAACATAGGTTCTCCAGCCCCTAGTTGAGAGTTTTTAGACATAGGGTCTCTATCCCCTAGTCGTCTTTTGCCAACATAGGGTCTCCAACCCCTAGTTGATATTTTTAGACATAGGTTCTTCATCCCCTAGTCGTTTTTTGCCAATATAGGGTTCTAAAACCTAGTTGAGAATTTTAGACATTG